ATATTTAAAATTGTCACAGAATTTCTTCTAAAAGCAGTGAAATATATTTATTTGTTTTAAAAATTGATCTAGATAATTTTTCATGAGATCATCTGTATACCCCTTAGTTAACAAAATGGAGACTTTATGTATTTTATTAGATAGGGTATAAAGTGCACGGGTTTAAAAATGGTTAAAATGTCAGTGCCTGAAATATAGTACAGAAACAGCTCAGTTCATGAATATTTTGTTTGCAAACAAAAGCTGTGGCATGATTTTGCTTCTATTTGCAAATTTTGCATTGGGTGAGAAATACCATGGTCATCTTACCCACACAAACATAAACATGGCAATCTCCCCCCAAATCATAAAACAAATTAAGTTGGTAAACTGAGGTACCACTCTATATATTTCCCTTTCTCTAATAAAATGTGTAGTGAAACAGTCCAGGTTGGGGAGGCAGGTTTCCATGAAGCAATCCAGAGAGCTTCCTTTCATCTGGTTTTTCTGCCAAGCTGGGCATAGTAGGAGCTGGGTCATCAGTATGTCAGTGTTTCAGGTGGTAGGAGCAGAGGAGAGGCAGTGCAGGGCAAGAAATTTTCTTCTAAGCAAGTAATGTGGAAAATGAACAAATTGCTCTTTTTTACAAGTATGTAAATTAAGTCAGAAGGCCATTGTTGGGCGCAGGCACTCAACATACCATACCCCACCCGGTACTAAGGACCACGCCAGCTTCCGCAATGCGCTAGGTCCCTCTCCAAATTAGCCACCCCGTGCTCACTTCGTATTTGCCCCGTGTTGACTCTGTGGCAACCCCTGATTGACCACAGCTGGGTATATTGGCCAGAACCCGCATCTCATTCCAGCCTTTCCTCCTCGTGGCAGCCCTCGTGGCAGCCTGATTGGCCACAGTCAGATATATAAGCCAGAACCCGCAACAATAAAGTTGGCAGTTACCTGTTACCCACAAGAGTGTCCTCTGTCTCATTGGGGGGCTGCGCCGGTCAGGCCATACCTAGCTACAAGGTGGAATGGAAAAATGTAGCCTCCAGATGGATGGCCTTGCACTCAATGAAAGCTTAATTCCAGTGAAAGAAGAGAAAAATACATTTGGAAGGGAGGAGGAGCCAGCAGTCTATCAGATAGGTAGGTAGACACTACAAACTAGTTTCTGGTTTTAGCCTTTTTTGGGGGGTGTGGGTAGACTTTCTGAAGAATATTTATTTTTGCATGACTAGGATGAGAATTAAAATTACTTTAAAGCCAACTCTAATTCTATTGATTGATTGGTTAAGTACTATTCATAGCTACTCTTTAATTACTGGATTAATAAATGGTTATATCAGGTGACGATATTTTGAAAGAATATATGAGAAAAAAATATATACATATTCTTAGTAACTAACAGAAGGAATGTAGTGAACATATGGTGTTTTTTCTGCCAAACTTCTCTTCCCCTACTGCCAAACAGTTGCATCCTTTCTGTAGGAAACTGACCCTCTTCTACTCCTTGAAGTAGGTGGTGAATAGTGGATGTCTCTTTGAGTTTGTGCTATGCTTATAGCTCCCTTCAAGGAAAACTAACTTAAGTATTTCTCTCTGCACAGAATTATTCAGAGTCTGTATGTACCATGGTCTAGATTCCACTGGATAACTTCAGTCTGCAAGCGTCAGTATCATTATATTTTCCCATGTCTTGTCGGCTAAGAGCTATTCCAGTTCTCTCCTGCTGTTAGCACTCTGTGGGCAACATCTTCATTGCTTTTTTTGGTGTGCATCAATTCCATTACATGTGTAAATAATTTTCTGACTTAAATTCCCTCTGTTGTCAATAAATGTTTCTCTTCTCTTGTTAGATCTTGACTGAAAAAAATGACCTGTTCTCGAGTTTTATAGCTCATCACACAAAGATTACTATTTGCCTTTTGATCCCAAATTCTCAATTTTCTCAGAAAGAGAAGCTGATCAACATGGTTTGTTTCAAGTTCTTGATGAAGGAGAAGTAATTAGGGGATGGTGGTTGATAATCCTAGTTATGAACTGGTCAAACATTTCCCAGAATATCTGCTGCCAGAACAAGGAATGGGGAGTGGGGTACCTAAATGCCATGATATCCTTTAAAACTTTCAGAAGTTTTAATTTTTATTATAATCTCAATCGCCTTTATAGTCAAAATTACTTTAAAATATTTACTTTCATAAAAGTGAAAGGTTTTTAGCTTGTGTGTTTTTTTTTAACTTGGGATTAGCTGCATTTTAATAGACAGTTCTGGAAGATGAAAAGTTGTTCAAAACTGAAGACCTGGAACCATTATTTAGAATTCTTAATATTATACATAATAGTCATTTGTAGCTATAATATGAAAATGGATCAGAGGGAGTCCTAGGATGGGGACTTTAGTCTAGGTTCTTGGAAAAGCAATAGAGCCAAAATGGGATTGAGCATGCAATATTTTATCAGGAAAGCACCACAAAGAATAAAAGGGAGACATGATGGATGGAGGGAGAGCTAGACCATCATGCAGATCTGTCACCTGGGAATACTATAGGGAAAGGATGGCACCTGGGAATACTATAGGTAAAGGATGGAAGTTTGGTAAAGGAAAGCCCTAATCTACAGCTTAGTGCTATTAAAAGTTCTGGTTGAGATCTGAGTAGGGTATTTCCATGGATGCCATAAACGGTAACAGGAAATACATGATTTTTAAAAATATATTGTGCTGGGGATTGAACCCAGAGCCTCATGATATTAGGAAATTGCTATACCACTGAGTTATATACAGGTGAGTCATAGCCTAGCTGCAAAGGAAAAGATCATTCTTTTTTTTTTTTTTTTTTTTGTGTACCAGGGATTGAGGAAAAGATCTTTTCCATACACAGCCCGTGCTTACTACAAACTCCTTTCCACTGCACAACAGCACACTGCTGGACGTACATCTTACCAGATTAATTTCACGATCTGATAATGGCCAATTAATCTGCACAAGTTGAGAGTCTTAGAGAACAGCTAGAAGAAGGGATGTGGATATTGGCCTGGCCAGAGTGGGCTAGGCTGACTGTCCTCATAGGTAAAGGCCTAGGAGAAAGTCAGTAATAATTGTCAAGGGCTGTCCTCTCAGATTCCACCTTTTCGGGGAGAACTTTTGTATTTTTTGTGCTTCTCTTGGTACCATGTCCCAAGACAAACAAGGCACATAGATAACAAAGCAGAATTGCAACTAGCATATAGGCTGCAAAACCAAATGCCATAATTGTTATTTTTCTAACAATGCTGTGACATCGGCTCTAATTTAATTCTTCTACCTTAAACGCATAAATTGTATTATAAGTAGCATAATATTAAATGAAGTCTTACATAATGTTTGTATTTTATGGAGTTATTAATCTTTTGCTTTATTACTTTAGTTTCTTTTTCAAGATTAGATCGAAGGCCATTTTGCCTGGTCAGGATGCTACTGATGGTCTAGCATACTCCTTAGCTTGGGGAGTAAGAGAGAAGCCAGAAGGAAGCTGGGTCCCTAGAACTATCATCGTGGCCTAAAAGATCAACGCGATTGTATTCTATAAGGGCATCTGGGTCTCCCACTACAGGAACCACCTGTACAAAGTTAATAAGGCTGGTTTTCTTTATCTCCTCATTTTTGCTTGATAATAAATCTTTATGTAATCTGGCTACTCCATGGAAGATGGAAGTTTTAGTAGTTCAGGAAAGAGACGATGAGGATCTGAGCTGAGAAATGTCTTTAGGACTGGGGACGAAACCCCTTTATGTGTACTGTAGAATATAGTTTGTTTACCTTGGTTGACTGTGAGCTACAACTTGCTGTTCATCCAAAGAATCAATATCCACAGAATTATGTACTAGCTGGGGAAAAGTTCAAAATTTCAAAGTCTTTGAACAGTCTTTGTACCACCACAAAGACAATGAGAGATGTCTGTACTGATTCTTCACATACTACCTATACCCCAACATTTCTAGCATTTTGTTGTTAGTCTTGTTTCTTGACCATCATCTCAGTATTTACTAATAATGGCAAAGGTGAGTAGTTTAATCAACATTCTCATTTGAAAGCTTCAAAATTTTATTTATTAGTTCTGATTGAATGTAGCCAGATGCATTAACAACCCATTCAATTTCATGAAGAAGAGCAACAGAAAAAGAAGGAATCACTGAATGATGCTGAGCATTTGAACAGAACAAAGGCCTCCCACACAGGTACTTTCCTCTTAAGATTAACTTTTGGAAATCTCACCTTTCTTTGCCTTGGTTTCATTTTTGTGTACTTTACAGAATCAATTTTTCTTTCTTTCTTTTTTTTTTTTTTTTGTCTTTTTTCCTTTTTATCGGTACCAGGGATCGAACTCACGACTGCCTGCTTGCAAGGAAGGCGTTTATGCCGCTGAGCTAAATCCCCAGCCCCATACAGCTTTTTTAATAGGTGAAGCATTTATCATTCTAATTAGCATTACTATTCAAAGGTTTTCATATTGGGAAAATAAACAGAAGCATCCCATGTATTTTGGGTTAAAGGGACTCTTTAAATCATGGTTAGGCAGATGCTGAGGCTGAGGTTCAAACACTGATGGTAAGTCATCAGACCTCTAGAAAGATGCTACAAGGCTGAAGTTCTAGATTTGAGGAAAAATAAAACCCGAGGTTAGCACTGTGGGCTTGTAAAAAATAACTCTGATGTTTCTACAGGCTACATTAAAAAGTAGGTTGGCACAATGTGCTAGAGAATCCCATAAAGCAGAGATGGATAAATTTCAGTAACAGATGAAATGTGTTACTTTAAGTTTCATTTACAAGGCAATATAAGTTCTTCGGCATGAGTGCCAGACTCTCAAGAGGGTCCCAAGAGTTGAACTGCCTCCTCTATCTGACAGGTCAAGCGGCGTTCTGCTGAGAAGAGGGGAGCAAAAACAGAGGGTGACAACCCCCGTGCGCATGCGCTCCAGCAACCGGGGGGCGGGGGGGTACGTGAGGGAGGGGAGACTTCGCAGATGAGGGCTCAATCCCCACCTCTAACCGCTACGCGCCTTTAGGCCTCGGGCCCCTAGGCTGGAGAACCAGCGGCTTGCGCGCCCGCGCAGTCTTCAGGCCGGAGCAAGCGCTTGCGCACGAGTTCCCAGGCGCGCAGGCCGCGGGGTTATTAGAGGTGCAGCGCGGGTAGGGCGCGCGGCGGGAGGCGGCCGTCGTTACGGCGCGAGCGTGGTCACGTGGCCGTTGGTCACCGTCACCCCCCCCCCCCCGCCCTGTTTTCTTTCAGGTCGGGCCGAGCCCGGCTGGTTCCGCGAGCGCCTGGCAGTCTGAGGGAGACAGAAAAAGGAGGGGAGGAGGAGGATTCAGGGAATAAGAGCTGGGGAGCCCTTCTGCGCCACAGGTAAAACGACATAATGATGATAATCGTAAAAAAAGCCCCAGGTCCCTGAGCACCTCGCTTCCCTCCAGTGCAGCCTCACGTGCAGTCGCTCCCGCCCCGGCCTGCCCCTCAGTCTCTCCTGGGCAGGTTCTCCCTCCCCGCGCGCTGCAGCCCGTGCTGCTGCTGCTGCTGCTGCTGCTGCTGCTGGGGCTACTGCGCCCCACCGGAGGGCCTGTAGCGGCCGCCCTGGCGGGTGGGGGCTGGGCGGCGCGGGGCAGGGATCCGCCCCAGCCTGCCCGCCGCCGCCCCCGGTTGGGGGCTAGGCTGCTGGGCCAGCTGTAGCCCGAGGGCCGGGCCGCCGCCGCGCTGGGGCTCCACTTGCTACTTGGTCCAGAGTTCCGTTCCTTTCGACCCGGGGCAGCGCGCTTCCTTCACAGGCCGGAAGCGAAACGGGCCCGGAATCGTGCTGAATGAATGCAGCCTCTAGAAGACAGAACCCTTCCCTTCACTTCTTCGTTTGTTACAGGACGACTTAATGCGTGTAACCTGTGAGAACTACACGTTTGAGGCCTATAGGGAGAAAAACTTTGCAGCTAGTGAAAGTTTTGATACTTTAAAAAAAATTTTTTTTTTTAGTCCTCAGATACTTTCTTGGGACCACACATGCCTTTCCAAACAAGATTCTGGTCACAAGAGACCTAGAGTTTGGTTGATGCTAGTTACTAAACAGTTTCAATCCCAGGAATATAAACTATGTTTAAAGTTTATGTCCTTTATTTTTTTTTCCGCCTGAGTGACTTTTTTCGAGACTTTCACTTGCCAAGTCTGAGTTGGACTAAAACTCGAATTTTAACATGTATATTGCAATCGTTGGGTTGGTTTGCGCCGAAATTTTCTAGGCCCAGTCATTCCTTCGGATTTCAAATACAATCCCAATTTAAAAAAAAAGTAGTGTTAGTGTTGTGCTGTTGCGCAAAATAAAGTCAGGAAGTATTAAATGTAGGCATTGCTGAAACACCTTTGAATTTTTTTATATCAATGACAAATTCGTTTATATCTTCTGGGCCTTTACAGTTCCATACGTTGGTCATTTTCGTACCGTGTGAAATGCGAACAGACATTTTTAGTTATTAACTGAAGTAGTGTCAAAAGAGCATGGAAATCTTAATGCCCATGGGAATCATCTGGCTCTTGCTAAAAATGCAGCTTCTAATTCAGTCGTTTGGCTTTACTCCTTGATACTCTATATTTCTAAAATGCTGAGGAAAAGCAAAGGTTCTTCAGTACCAAGAATGTAGGTAATTTCTGTGTTAAGAAATAACTTGGTGTATTTGTAAATGAACCTGGTCCTTTTAGTAATCTACTCTCGGTTTAGAGGTAACTTGGCAAAAGGGTCAGTTGGCCGGGTGAACTGAGAAATCTTGCCTAGGGAAATCCATTATGCAGGGTGGGTGAAATGTAGAACCAGCAGAAGGAGGATAGGAAGAGTTGCAGATACCTTGTCTGTAAGCTTTCCGACATCTGGGCTGTGATTTTTCCTTATTTCTAACGGAAAGACTTGTTTGTCTATAGGTAATTGGGTTTGTATCAACAGACATATAGGGCAAGTAACCCTATGTATTTGAATATACTGTTGATGAAATATTTGTTGTTGTTGAGAAAAATACTGAGTGTGTGCTTTCTCTTAACCTTTTACTTCCAGCCTCAGTTGGCCGTTGTATTCTTGAGCCTTGGATGGAAATTTTGAAACAGTTGAGAGTCACACTTTCTCAGGGTGTTCTAACTAGATTCAGATTTTTTTCTAAGTTATTTTTTTTGTTATGTTAATTATAGTGTCATGTATAACCTCATGTGTACATAATACTGTACTTTTTTTCTTTAATGATGATGGGGATTAAACAGGACCTCAGGCATGCTGAGTACTTACGTTTTTAAGAACTTTATGGAAGTAGATGACAACTGCTCCAAAATTTTTATGGTCTTCATGCTAGTCATTATCTTTGTTGCTTGATATTTTTAAATTGTATGTGTAACAGTACTTTTTGAAGCACTTAATAAGTGCCAGGAACTGTTCTAAGACCTTTGCGTCTCTTAACGCATTTAGTCCTCAAAACAGCCTTTCAGGAATAGGAAGCAGAGAAAGTCCACGAGCCTGGGTTTACACAAATAAAGGAGAGCTATTATTCTGCCTTGTTGACTCCAGATTTTGTCTATATGCTGTCTTGTTAAAAGCAAATTGGTGATACTGTTTTTAATCCTTATTTTGTCTAATATTGTTGAAAATTAAGATTTACTTTTCATTTTAAAAGTAAAAACTTTTTCTTTCATTTCCTGCAATTTTTTTCTGTTCTAGAATGAAACCCTTAATTGTTATTGATATTGAAATCTGCAAAGTTGTATTTTGCTTGCACCTATTTGTTAGATCAGTCTGAATTTCTGTGTCACTGTTAAATATACCTACTTTTGATTCACTGAATTTCTGTCTTTCATATCCTCCTCAATACTTCGTGTCTGACACCACTCCTCCCTCCATAGTAGAGGTAGTCTGTATTTGCTATACTAATATTTAGGGCTAGGAGTTCACTGGTTTTTTTCTATAATTTTTATTTTAAATTTGTTAACAGTTATCTGATTTAGGGATTGTCTAGATTACTGACCTTTTATTTGGTCAGTAAGGACGATAAAAACTAAGCATTGGTCATTATCTTATTTTAATATTGAAAAAGTAAGGACAATGCTGGAATAAAGAATTATTTTTAAGTTGAATAATTTATGATTCATAAAAAATGGACGTCATCCTTTCTTAACCTTTTCCCTGTAATTTATCTTATTTCTATATAAATCTGAGAAGTAGTGCTTGTACATCTGATCTAAAACATTTCTCTCTGTATGGAGTGATTAGTAGACAGATAACGTGTAGACATTTAGCAGAACTTGAGAAATGTCAGTGGTAGGTTAGGTAAGCTGGGAGGGAGAAGGGAAGGGTAGGGCTGCTTGGCTAACATTGAGTTTGGGAAGAAAGTCATAATAACAGTAGATCTCCATTGAACAGAACTGTTTGCAGTCTCACTGTTGGAATGTCCACTTTATAAGCTTTAATTTTGTAACTTGAACAATTATTTCTAAGATGACAATATGTAATCCATTAACTAGTGATTTCCTACTGTTTATTTTTTTCTGTAAATCTGTATAACTTGTACCCTTTCTCTGCTTTTTTTTTCTTTTTCTCCTTAAATAAAATTAAAAAAAAAATAACAGTAGATCTCAGGGATAAATGCTTCCTCAAAAGCATATTATTTAGGAAAACGTTAAGCATTCTGCAAATGTCAAACATTTAAAAACAGTGCTCATGTAATGATTTATTAACATTAAGCATTACATTAATTGAACCTTAAGAAGAGATGAAGGGATTATGCTTAGTCAGAATTCTCCTAATTCTATTTTATTCTTTCAGTATTACAGTATGTAATGTGGAAAGCCTTGTTGTACACTCACTTGCTGGCTTTTGCATTTCTTACTCTCTTGCTCTGCAGTGGGATTGTGTTCTACCATGCTCCCACAGCCTCACAGCTCAGTGGCCAAGTCAATACTTACAGTAAACTTAAGGGCGTATTTATTCGATGTGCTGATACACATCTTTTAATTTATATTTTCACTTACTAATAATGATTTTAGTATTTATTTTTACAAATTCTGTGGTATCTGTAATAATGCCATGCCTCCAGTTAGTCTCATAAGGCCTCTATTTCTCATCTTCAAAATGGTTGTCATAACAGTACCTCACAGGATTGTTTTGAGAATTAAATGAATGAATGAATGAGAGAGAGAAGAGAGAGAGAGAGAGAGAGAGAGAGAGAGAGAGTGTAATTATAAAATGCTTCATACTGTACTATAGGTGTTAGATACCATGTTCTACAATAGATAGTCTGTAATATGGTTGATTGATTTTTAATCATGTATCAAGAGTAACTACATTTGAAAGTACTGAGTGGAAATTGTACTTTTTTGAGAAGGGTGTATGGACCAGGCAAGAAAAGAGTTTATATTTTTTGGATGAAAATATAAAACTGGTATAGTAATATTTTTATCCCTTTGGAGAATTAAATGTACATAATTAATGGATTGACAGCCCATGTCTTTTAAGACAGGGAAGTAAGGCTTCTAAAAAAGATGTCCTTGATAGTGGTATAAAAAGATTGGTTTAAGATTTTCAAGCTTAATATTGTGAAGCCCAAAACAGAATTATCTTTTTTATGAATACTGTTTATACGTGTTTACTTAGCTGACTCCTTTAACATTTCAAACCATTCTTTTTATGTTCTTCAGACCTGGCCTACAGACCCTTTATTTAAAACCCTTAACTTACATGTCTCAAAAGTAAAATGTTTTGGAATTTAAAAACTTAAGATGGCACATATGGCATATGTAAAAGCTTCTGTGGGGAGGAGCAACTATCCCATAAATACACACATGGATTTTTCCAGAAAATTATACATATTTATATTAAGTATAACAAGGACTATAAAAAGCTTGTATCAGTTCAGGTTTAGTTTATTGATATTTTTGATTTCCAGAGGTTTTTTTTTTTATCTTTGACGATAAAGATAAGGGATTGAGTTTGTGTGTGTGTGTATATATATATATATATATATTTATAATTTATATATGATTATATTCATCATAGTGCCTCTGTCATTAATCAGACAGAAAATTCTTGGAAGATAGTACTGGCGTATAGTAGGTGCTCATTAGTTTGACTTGAGCCTGATGATACTGGCCTGTATTCCATATAGTCTGAGAGGCTGAAGCAAGAGGTTCACAAACTCAAGCTCATTCTGGATAATTTAGTAACTTAGGGAGACCCTGCCTCAAAGTGAAAATACAAAATGGATGAGAGGGGATACATTTTAATATGAAGGCCCTGGGTTTGATCCCCAGTGCTGTCTCCCACCCCCTCACAGCATTAGTTTGGATGAAAAACATTTAAAGGTAATTATCATTCAGTCAATATTCAATGTTGC